GTGGTTGGCGCAGGATAGAGCAGGGTTTAGAGCTGTTGTGCATAGGGTCGTTATGAGTCGGAAACGACTCGACGGCACATAACAACAACAACAACAATGTCAGTGGAGGTTTTGTATTAAACTTACTCATTTTATAAATTATTATTATTGATATTTTAACAAAAGTTTACAGAAAACTTGGATTTCCACTCATTCATTGTTGCACATTTTCCTTCCTACCTTCCCTCCTCCAGTTCATCTTTCTCTTTAAAAAGATTCTTTCATTGTTCTCATTTTTTTTAAATTAGGGGGTTTTATCATTGTTGAGAGTATACACAGAAAAATACACATAAATCCACGTTTTACCATGTACAATTCAGTGACACTGAGTATGTTCTTCCAATTGTTGAACCATGTAACCACTGTCTGCTCCGATTTCACTTAAACTGTCCCTTAAGATTCTTATACAATCTTTCAAATTGTTGTTGTCAATTTGATCCCATATACATGGATCTTGGAAGAACACAATGTTCATGACAGACATGTTATACTAGTTAAGTTCAACCATTGTTTGGCTTTAAAATGTCAGGAGATATTTTTAGGCTAAGGTTTAAAAATTATCTTAGGGGAAAAAAATTATCTTAGGGAAAAAAAATTATCTTAGGGAAGTACTTTTGGGGGTTCATTCAGCTTCTGTGGCTCCATAAATCTGGATTCCATAAGAGTTTGCATTTTTTTCTGTATTTTACCCTCTTTTGATCTTTTGAAATTTAAAAAAAGAGAGAGAGCAATGTAGGCACAGAGATGAAATAGATCAAATAGGGAAAAGGTAGATATTTTGTGATCTTGATAAGCCTTGCCACTGACGTCCTCTGGAACATTTTAGGAGCCTAATGCAGAAGACTGGGTTACTGGCAGGACTCTGGAGAGCATTCTTAAAACATCCAAAGCAGTGTAGTTAGCTGCCATCTTTGAGTGGGGCACAGCTGTTGATTTCCTATCTACTTCAGAATACCATGGGCTGTTGATTTGGTTGCTATGCGACACATATTCACCCTTGTTTAGGACACTGAACTGTTTTGAGTGGTTTTAAAGCCTTTCTCAAACAACACTGGGAGCACTGGCGGCCTAGTGGAAAGAAACTGTGCTGCAGTCCCAAGGATGCACAGTTCAAATCCACCCGCTGCTTTTCAGGAGAAGGATGGGCCATCTCCTCCCGTGCAATTAACTGCATCTGAAAACCTGCCACAGAATCATCTATGGGTTGGTTCCAACTCCACGATACACAACAGTCAAGCAACACAACCATTCGCAATGTTACCTCACTTTTGAATGGAAGGTGGGGTTTGATGCCTAAGATACAAGTAGTGTGGAAGCCCGTGGAGTAATCTTGTTCCTTCTTCTCCCTAGGAATTTCTTCAGTGGCTTTTGGCCACCCTTGTCACTTCCCGTTCACCTATAAAAACAATAATTATTACAACTGCACTACCAAAGGCTCAAAGAACAACCTTCCGTGGTGTGCAACCTCTTACAACTATGACCAGGACCACACCTGGGTGTATTGTTAGTGGAAAGGTAAGATCAGGTGCAACACACCTGTATATATTGCTTGTGTGAAGGTGAGACTAGATATCAGACCTGGGAGCAGTGCAGAATGTGCAGCACATCTGAGTGTACTACTGTTATGGAGGTGAGATCAGGTACCCCACCTGGGAGCATTGCGGATGCCAAGGTGTGATCTCTTTCCAGTATGTCTGATCTGCTGAAGCTTTTGGCAAAGTGGATTCCATTTCCCAGAGATAAAGTGCCAAGGGGAAATAAGTGAAACAACTTTCCAAACTAGAGAGCTGGAATGTACTGGGATTTCTATGTTCCAAGGGAGATGGGCAAACTCTTCCAGTCCTCAGAATGGTTCATTCATTCTAAGATCAATAGCTGGGAAGTTTTGGATAAGAGAGAGCAGAGAAGTAGAGTTTCTCAAACTGAGGAGTGATAGGAAAAAACAATCTGGAAAAGGGGATATTGGAGACTTCTGGGATCCCCCAAATCTACGGTCAAGCCAACACCCCCATCATGGGGGAGCCACCTAAAAAAGAGATAGAGTTCACGTACCTTCCTCGTCTCTTCAGCCCTCTCTCCACCTGAGCCCCCAAATCCTCAGCTATTTCCTCTGGACTAATCCATCACTCTTTTTCTTCTGGTCTTCTGACCCATCATCTAAGCTAAGGTCAGTTGCCTGTACTCCCTGACAATGGGTTGATTCTGACTCACAGTGACCCTACATCAAATGTCCACGGACATAGATCTTTATGGGATATTTATGAGATCTCTACACATCTCTACTTATGAGATCTCCACTCATCTTTCTCTCAAACAGTATCTGGTGTACTCAAACCTTTGAGATTTAAGTTAGCAGCACAGCACTTAATGCACCACCAGCGCACCTTCAGACATACCTATACAAGCAAACCAAACTCTGTCACTGAATCAGTTATAACTCTATGACCTCATAGGAGAGAATAGTGCCACCCATCACATCTCTAGGGTTGTAATTGTTAGAGAAGGAAAGGCGTGGTCTGTAGATAATTGCACCACTAACCCAAAGACCACATCTCTGGTGGTTCAAATCCACCAGTTGCTCTAAGAAAGAAAGAAAGATGGACCACTTTCTTCCGTGCAGTTTACAACCTTGGAAAAGCACTGGAAGATCAGCTATGAGCCAATTCTGACCCAATTGGCGGGGGGGGGGGGAGAGAGTATCTTTACAGAAGCAGACAGTCACATCTTTCTCTATGGAACGGCTGGTGGTTTTGAAGCACCAACCTTTCAGTTTGCAGTCTGTCCACCTTACACACTATCCCACCAGAGCTCCTCTGTAGACATCTAGAGCCTACAGAAGTTCTTTCTAGACTTCCATGGTTTTGCTTCTGGAATCTTAAGGAAGACCTTTCTTGAGCTGTGTAGACACTCACCCACCCCTGTCCCTCATTCCAGGGTAGAAAATTCTTCTGATTGTAATAATCATTCCCCCTGGTAATATTTTTTGCTTATGTTACAGATGGATGTGTTTTAATCCATCCTGGTTCATAGCGACCCCAAGTGTTGCAGGGTAAAAGAGATCCTTAGACTTCCATATCTACTGTCATCTGTTGTTGAGAATGTGTACACCCATTCAACAGTTTCTACATAGATAATTCCGTGGTATTGATGGCATTCTTCAAGTGTGGAACCGTTCTCAACCTTCTTTTCTGAGTTGTTCCTTCCCCATAAATACAAGGTTCTTATCTAACCTTTCGAGTTGCTATTGTCAACTTGATCCATTATAGACAGTTCTTTAAAAGTATAATGATCCGCGAGCTCTGGTGGCCTAGTGACAAGAAGCTGCAACTGCAATCACAGAGGTGTACGGTTCGAATCCACCAGATGCTCTGCTGGAGAAGGAGAAACAACCTTCTCCTGTTCCAGTCAGATCTGATTTGACTGTACACAAAAAAACCAATGAAATAAAAAAAAAAGTATAATGATCAAGGTGGACGTTCTTTTCTAGTGAATCCAGAGGTCCCTAAGTGGCACTGTTTGTACTTGGCTGTTAACATGGTAGGCTAAGTGTTGGGTTCCTAAACAAGAACTGGTAGGTTCAAACCTACCAGTCACTCCCAGGGAGAAAGCAGAGGTAGCCTCCTCCCATTAAACAACAGTTGTTGTTGGAATCAACTCAACAATAGTGTGCTTAGTTTTGGGTGAGCTCACTTAAATGCTGATGATTTTAACCTACCCAGTGGTACAACAAAAGAAAGCCCTGGTAGTCTGTTTCTATTAAGATGATAACCATGAAGAGATTGACTGATTGATTGGTGGTTGTTGTTGATAGGGCCCATAGTCACTGTGTCAATCCATCTTGTTCAGAGTCGTCTTCTCTTTTTCTGACCCTCCACCTCTCCTGGCGTGATGTCTTTGTTTCAAGGAGTAACACCTTCTGACAACCTGCCCAAAGTATGTGAGATAGGTTCCTCCAAGGAGAAACCTAATTGCACATCCTCCAATGCTGACTTCTTTGTTTGGTTGGTTGTCCATGAGATATTCTGAATTCTTTGCCAACACCACCACTCAAAGGCACTGGGCCTTCTTAATTCGTGGCCCAAATAGACCACCCACCAGAACTCCTTTTCTGAAGCATAGGGAGTGTCTTGAAAAGACCGTGGCCTGGATCAGGTGCATCTCAATCTTTAAACAGGCATCACTGCTCTTGAACACGTTGCAGAAGTCCTTAACAGCATATTTTGCAACCAGTCTTTTGATTCGTTGATTGTTGCTACTATGGGTGTCGATTGCAGATCCCAGAAAAATTAAATCACTGGCATCCCTTTTGAGGAACTGACTAGATGTTGTGATTAATTACATTGGTTGGTGGTAATTAATGTTATAAAACAAAATGTCTATGAATACTTGAGTGGAAAAACCAGTATGAGTTGTAAACTTTCACTCCAATAAAAAAATCTAATAATAAAGATTGAGTCACTATGGTTGTCTATGACTTGACGTCAATTAAGAGCAACAACAACATAGAACTCTGTGGGCCAGGTGGATAAAAAGTTATGCTATCAAGCTACAGGTGGGTGATTTTAATATGTGGCCCCAGGCCTGGTTTTAATTGTTTTTTGGTCAAACATTCTTCTAAGTGGTATAGCACTGGTCTATTTGCTGTACAGAGGTAACTCATGGTTGCTGTGATGCTGAACACTGTGACACTGACGTGTCAAATGTGAGAATGGTTACTCATGGTGGACAGTGTTTGGTGGAGTTTTCTGATTAAAATAAGCTTGAAAGCAGGAGTGGCATCCACTTCCGAAATAGCTTGCCTCCAGAAACCCTGTGAATCTGAAGAAACGACGAAAGTTATACAGGTGTTCAGGTCTTTCATTCATAAGGTCGCTATGAGTCATCTACAACTCAATGGCACTTAACAACAACAATAATATTAGGAAGGAAAAAGAAAGAAAAATAGTTTCATAGCCAAAAAAATTCTATGGGAAGGAGCCCTAGTGACATAGTGGCAAGAAGCTGCACTGCAATCCCAAAGACCGTAGTTCAAATCCACCAGATGCTCCACTGGAGAAGGAAGGGCAATCTCTTCCTGTGCCCGTCAGATCCAATACAACAGTACACAACCAGGAAAAAAATAAGGCAAAAAAGAAATTCTATGGGGTCATTGCACTTGGTGACACATGAGGGTACCATGGGTCAAACCAACAGGACAGCATCTAAAAACAAGAGCTGGGAAGGGGAGACAGAATGTGTAACTAGGCTTCAGTAAGCCACTTCATTTTATTTTTCTAGTTGTGTTTTAAAATCCAGTACAGACTTGCTTTTTAAATTCGACTGAAGCAAATGCACACTCATGATCTGAACATTGGTTTTCCGTTTCCTTTTCCAGGGGAAGGAAGCCACCTTCAGAAGAAGACTTCTGCATGGGAGCTGAAACCAGCTTCATCTTCTCCATTGCATCTCTCAAGCTTAAAAAATCACCTTCAGAAATTTCTTCTCCACCATCTTGGGTCTTGGTGGTGTTGTTTTTCCTCACTGTCTTGTTGAATTACTTGGTCTTTTGTCAAGAACAGATGGGAAATGTGGTGTAGCAACCCCTCCCCAATAAAGAGTCCAATCTGGGGACTGTCATTTCTGCTTCTTAGAAAGTTTGGTGATTTGAATCCACCAGCTTCTCCATGGGAGAAAGAGGGGAAGTCTCATAAAGATTTACATCCTCAGGGAGCTCTGGTGGCCTAGTGGCAAGAAACTGCACTGCAATCCCAGAGGTACACGGTTCGAATCCACCAGATGCTCTGCTGGAGAAGGAGGGGCAATCTTCTCCTGTGCCAGTCAGATCTGATCTGACAGCACACACACAAAAAATAATACAACGTTAAGAAAAAAAGAAGAAGAAAAAAAAGATGTGACAGCCTCGGAAACCTGCGGAAAGGTCACCCTGAGTTGGAATCAACTTGGTGGAAGAGGGTTTGCTTATTTATGCTTTAGAAGGAAAGAAAGGGAGACCTAGGAGGGACCGCTAGCCTCCAAGAAAGTTCACCATTAATTTCTGTTTTTGCTGTGGCCTAGTGGCAAGAAGCTGCGCTGCAATCCCGAAGGCAAGCAGTTCAAATCCACCATCTGCTCTGTGAGAGAAGGATGAACAGTCTCCTCCCATGTGATTAACTGCCTCTGACATCCTGCCAGAGGGTCAGCTTTGGTTTGGTCCCGATTCAATGGCACACAACAACAACAGCAGAGTATAATATGGAATAATAAAGAAACTTATAATATAGAATATATAATGTTGTTGTTGTTGTTATGTGCCATCGAGTCGTTTCCGACTCATAGCGACCCTATGCACAACAGCTCTAAACCCTGCTCTATC